CTATGTCTTCCCAACTGAGCAATGGTGAGAGGAAAAAGATCATTCAAACCTTCAGTAATGACCTCAACATTCATACTCTGGCTTCCATTTTCAAAGTCCATTCAAGAACCATCAAGAGAATGGCGAATAAGTTTAAAAAAGAGGGAACAGTAGAGAGGGAAACTAAGCCGGGAGGTCACAGCAGGAAGAGGGATCACCATTTCAACTTAGAGTTAAAGAGATCAATTAGAAAAGATCCAAATAAATCCATAAGACGTTTGTCATGGGAGAGAAGAGTTTCAGCTATGACAGTCCAAAAAGTACTGAAAAAAAGACATGAAAATGAAATCGGGTGTGAAACCTGTGTGGCAACTTGTTAATCCAGGACAGAAAGTTTGAAGGTTAGTGAGGGCGGAGATCATCTTGAATAAGTTTGAAAATGATCCTGGAATAATATATATATATATATATATATATATATATATATATATATATATATGTATGAACTTTATATCAATCCTTCATGAGCTTCCGATCCTTAGCTATGATTAAGTAATGATGAACATGTCATTTTCGTTTATGATCGATTTCATCATGATTCTTCTATTAAGCTTGGAGAATAATTATACATTATTATTACTCAAATTGCTTGTATTATAAAAACCTCGGAGAATTCCAGTAAGATATCTTTAATCATTTCTATAATACAACTGTTCAAAATATATATATATATATATATATATATATATATATATATATATATATATGTGTGTGTGTGTGTGTGTGTGTGTGTGTGTGTGTGTGTGTGTTTTTTTGGGGATGTATAAAAGTATCCCAAAGAAAAGCGGAGACAATTCGACAAACTGGAAAAGCTTTTAAGCGACGCGTTTCGCCGATGTGACGTGTTTCAGGCTCGGTTTCTTCAGATTGAAATGAAAGGTAAATCTGTGTGTAAGGAAAATACGTTGTGATTTTTGAAGATAAGAGGAGCAATATGTTAAATTACCTTATCAGATCCTACGACCTGAAATAAGAAAGTGCTTGTTTGTTTTGGACAAATAACCTTAGTGTCGGTTGGATTTTAAATCAGTACAATCCGAGTAGATCTCATTTTCCCTCTGTTTGCTCGTATACCGCATTGTGCTACTGTTGCTTTTTCGATGATCGGTGATATTATGCATGAGCCTGGTGTTAGGTTTGTGAATTACGATATTAGCACACTATCAATGCATTTTCTTATCGCTACATCTCGTTGAAACACCGGCCCCCGTACCGAAGTTAAGCAACGTTGAGCCTGGTCAGTACCTAGCTGGGTGACCGCGTGGGAATACCAACAGTACACTTAGGTGTGCGGGTGGTGTAATGTATAATGACTCGGAATTGTTAATCGGAGAACCGAGTTCCAATTCCAGTTGGGTTCGTTATATTCACTTATACGCAAATATCTTAAGGCAAGGCATGAATCCACCTCTTCTTCCCCAGCTATGGGTTAATTAGTAAAAATAGTATCACTTGATTCTTATTATCCCTCCAACTGTTTTTACAGTGTAAAAATATGCCCTGGCTTTAAATAATATGCAAAGGGTTGATAAGCCGTAGGAAATAAATAATTCTGAATTAAATTTGATCGATAAGCAATTCATTTGATACAAAGCCTAAAATTATAATCTATGTCAGGGAAAATTCTATTTAGGGAGAAAATACTTTTGACTCATTGATTTGAGCTTTTGTAGAAAAAACTTAAATCTCACCCGAAGTCCCGGGTTTGTATCTTAACGATTCCTTCGAAATGTAACTAGTACAACTCAGTAAGTGTTGACATACCTTGTTTGAAGAGTTATAAATGAGTATCCTCATCTTTGTTGTTTTCCTTACCACACTTCAGCCGATGCGTTTTCCGGCCTTCGTTAGATGGACATTGAAGTTTACATAGTAACCATTGAAATGAATTAATTACCTGCGTCTCAGTCAATTTAAAAAAAAAACCATGTCCCTTAAGGACGTAGGCGAACATGACTCTCCCTAGAGTCCTTTTGTTTTACATTATCTTTGAATGTTTTCTTGAGAAAGACTGTGAAGTGGTTTCCTGTTGCTTTGCCTCGGTTTTGGGACTCAGGATTATCCTTCTTCTATACTGGCTGCCAACCAAGGCTATTAACATATAGCTTGTGGGGTATCAGTGCGAAATTAACTAACTCGGTCAGAATTTGATCTAGGCTCGCTGATTTTACTTTCCTGTCCAAATATCATATTTATAGTTAATAACATTTTATTCTTTATCAAAGAAAGATTCATTTTGAATATAGGACGATTTTGTTATTCCATTCAGGAGATTGTTTCAAATAAAAAAAAATTCTAGATTAGACTAAGTTGCGACGAGCAAGGTTGAGACATCTGTCTGTATTTCTGAGATAAGGTATTATGTACACTATTTACATTATTCAGACTATTGTCCCCATCCTTGTCGCCATATTTATTACAACGTTTCGGCCGTTGTACACTACGGCCTTCTTCGGGTGGTTGAAATGTCGAACTGAACCCTTTATTTCGCTCGCTAGGATAGACTGTTCTAGTTCCACATGCCATGTCTAATGGATGTCAGTTATCAGTTATCTCCTGTTAACCCCCCTCTTCAAGTTCTCCACTGTCTTAACCGGGTATTGAACTCACACTCTTTGGGTCTTGTTACTGGATCTAACCAACGCCTTTATCCACTGTGCCATGTATGTATGAACAATGTTGAGGACATCTGTGTATAAATTTCTGGGTATCATAAACCTAATGTCTTCAGCAATCATTTTATACCAGTGCTCATATTGCAATTTTTTCTGTTATCATTTCATGTTTTTACCAGAGCTCATATTACAATTTTTATTGTTATTATCGCTTTTCTCTGGCACTCCTTATTACTTGTTCCCATATTGTATTTATTTCTATGCTTGGTCGGCTCATGAGATTTTTGAGGCCTAACATATGCGCTGATTCCTTAAGTTTACGAATTTTCGAACTGTGTTCTTTGTCTATGATCTCAACCTGAGGGCGGTGATCTCCCTTTTCTCTCCATATGTGGTCAGCCACGTCTGATTTTTCCACTTCCCCTCGTGTTACAGCTTTCTGGTGTTCTTGAAGTCTTACCTTAAGAATGCGGCCTGTCTCCTCTTTATATTTCTTTCCGCAGATGCACGGTACACACAGTCTTTAGTCATGTTCTCCTCTATGTGTGTGTGTGTGTGGGGGGGTCTTAATCGGGAGAGACATCTGCGAAGTGTCATCAAGTTTTTGAAGGTTGTCCTGATGTCATATAGGCCGCAGATCCTTTGTATTTTCTCTGATAACCCCTTCACATAAGGCAGGCAGACTGTTTTCTGAGTGTTGTTGTCCTCCTCTTGAAGCAACTGGAGTCTCGAAGATGCCCGATTTAGTGCAGTGAGATGGATTCCCACTGGGTGCCTTATTATTGTGGCCTTACGTTAAACAAAGCGAAGATAGATATTGTGGATAGCACATGGTTGTTTCCCTGTTTAGTTTTCTAAAATGCGGTTTCCTACTGTAGAGCGGTCGTTAGCAAACTAAATTCATTAGCCAGCTGAATGTGTTGCGAGTTTTATCCTCCCTAGGCAGGCACTTGATTATGGTTCTATGCCATACTAAAATAAGTTCTATAAAGACTTGATTTGAAATTGGCATTTTTCTCTTTCTCTCCCCAAAATGCCTCCAAAAACTTTTCGTGAACAATCCTTGATTCGCCCAAATTGACAGAATCTAAAAATGCACGCTTTCACCATTGGGCTTTAACTGCAAGTCACAAAAGGTAAATACAGTAAATAATGAAAAGAAATAGAAAATATGACACGAAAGAAAGAAAGGGGGAAGAATCAAAAGAGAGGCAGAAAAAGATAGAGAGCAAGAAATAAATAAAAGAATGAAAGATGTTCATCACATTTTCTGTCAGATTTTTGCAGTTTTGTTCATCCGTACTTGAGTGTACATAGCTTGCATGTTTTTGACATCCACCAAAGTTTGGCATATGTCTATCTCTCTGCCAACACCCTCGACACAAACGCTGCAAACTCAGCCTCGACAATCACAAAAACCAATGAAACTGTCCACTCCACCTTATATATATATATATAAAAAATAAGAAAAGAAAGGTCGGTTAGCATCGGCCACGACGTAGCCATCTTTGTCACGTGGTACCCATGGCCGTCAGAGAATTCGCTCGATTGGAAAAGATTCACGGTAGATTTTCATACCAGATTAGCCGCCATTTTTTTTTTGTTTTGCTTGGTAAAGCTCAAAAGTTCGACTGGTTGGGGATTATCTAAAGAACGAGATAAAGCCTGGTGAATAATGTCGTGAACGATGTAATGAAAGGTTACAAATAAGTAAAGAGTGATATGTTGCGGACTGGGTTGGGTCATATAATGTCAAGATGAAAAGAACCAAGAAAGAAGTGAAAGAAGAGGCTATAAAGGAAGCGAGGAAAGAAGAGAATGGAGAATGCAAAAAAGAGAAAGAAAGTTTGAAATAGAAAACAGAAGAAGGGAAAAGGAAAGAATGAAGAAAAGTGGAAGAAAAGAAAAGAAAAACACAAAGGAAAGAGAAGAAATATAATGATGATAGGAAGAACGAAAAGAAAAAAGAAAATAGAAACAAAAAGAAAAGCGATGAAGAATAAAAATTAAGAATGAAAACTTGTTTTTTTTTGTTTCTTCTGTTCCTTTCTTTTCTTTCTTCTATCATTTTCTTTGTATTCTCATTTTTATTTTTTCTTCGTTGTAATTTTTTGCTTCTATCTTTGTCTAAATTTAAAGAAGAAGCAAAGAAGGAAGAAGAAAGAGCAATGAAGAAAAAATGATAAAGAAATGGGGTGGAGGAGAATATATAAGAGGGAAATGAAAAGAATTAGAAAAAAAACGAGAAGAGAAGAAAAAAAAGAATAAACGGGAAAAACAATGAAAGATCAAAAAGGTAAGTAAAACGGAAGAATGAAACGAAAATGATAAAATCAAAGAAGATAATTACGGATAGATAAGAAAGTGATTGGAAGAGAGAGAAAATGTACATGTATGCGAGAGAGAGAGAGAGAGAGAGAGAGAGAGAGAGGGAGAGAGAGAGAGGGAGAGAGAGAGAGAGGGAGAGAGAGAGGGAGAGAGAGGGAAGGTGGAAAATGGAGAGAGAAAAAAGAAAGGAGGACAGATTAAGAGGTAAAAGAAATGATGAAAGAAAGAAGCGGGTAAGTAAGAGATAAAATGGAAAGAGTACGAAACAGAGAAAGAAATAAAGAAAGGAAGAATATTCAGAAATGATGAAGAAAAGCAATAAAAGTGAGTGAAAGATAATGAAGCAGAAAAAAAAAGAGAGAAAAAGGTGAAGAAAGAAAAGAAAGAAAGAAGAAAGAAAGAAATCGGGAAAACCATGAAGAAAAATAAGTTACGACGAAAGACAGTAAAAGAAGAATAAAGAATGAAAAGAAAATAGGACGAAAAAAGAAATGGAAGAAAGAACGAAGAAAGAAAGCCAAAAAAAAAAAAGAAAACAGGAAAATACGAGGAAGAATGGAGAAAGAAGTGACGACTAAAGAAAGTAAGAGAAGAATGAAGAAGAAAAAGGAAAAAGGACGAAGAAAGAAATGAAAGAAAGTAAGAACGAAGAAAGAAAGACAAAGAAAGAAAACGGAGAAACAATGAGAAAAATAAGCAAGAAGCGACGACGAAAGAAGGAGAAGAATTAGAAAGGAAAAGAAAAAAGAACGAAGAAAGAAATTGAATGTAAGCAAAAATGAAGAAGAAAGCAGGAAAACAATGAAGAAAGAAAATAAAAAAAAACATTATCTAAAGAAATGAAGAGGGAAAAGAGAAAAGAAATAAAGGATGAAAGAGAAAGATAACGAGAAAAATGTAAGCAAAACGAATAAGGGGTTTCGGAAAGAAGTTGACAAGGCAAGAGATTGCAAATTGGGAAACGAGAATTCACCGCTGCTAATAAAAAAAAAGTATTGTCACCAAACGTCGGATCGTTGTAGAGATTATTGAAAAATTGTGCATTCATGTGTAGACAGGAATTTGCATGCTTAAACAGACAGACAGACACACACACATACATGCACAGACACAGATACAAACACACACAAACATATACACACAGATACAGATACAAACACACAGACACACGTAGACGCACTTGAAAGCATTTGTAATCACACATAAACATATCCTTAAACATGCACATAAAACAAACATGTACTAATAAACAAATACGCATAAAAGGCACCTACACGCACGCACATATAAACACATACCTAACAACACACAAAGAAAAACATATAGGAATATGCACATAAAAAACACACACACACACATGCACCCCTATTCACAGACACGTAAATATGAAACCTTATGTAAAATATACATATATTTTATACAAATTCAGGTACATATATTAAAGTCTACACACACACACGCACACACATATATACATAGTTGTGTATTTTCGCAGCAAACCTTCCGTAATACATGTTTTGCTGAACAAGAATATCAAAGTACTTTTTACATTATTCAGACTATTGTCCTCATCTTTGTTTCTATAGTTATTAAAACATTTCGGCCGTTGTACTCTCCGGCCTTCTTCAGGTGGTTGGAATGTCGAACTGAACCCTTTATTTCACTCACTGGTGTAGACTGTTCTAGTTCCACGTGACATGTTTTCAATGGGGTAGACTGTTTTGGGGTAGACTGTTCTTGTTCCACATGCCATGTCTTTAATTGATGTCAGTTATCAGTTATCTCCTGTTAATTCTCCTCTCCAAGTTCTCCACTGCCTTAACCGGGTATTGAACTCACACTCTTTGGGTCCTATCACTGGATCTAACTAACGATTTTATACACTGTGCTATGTGTTCTTGAGACAAAGATGAGGACAATAGTCCGAATAATGTAAATAGTATACATAATACCTCATCTCAGAAATATAGACAGACACCAAAGTACTTTTGTTTATTTCTTTTTTAATTATGTTTTTTTTTTGTATCCGTTGAAGCTTTTTCTTTCTTTGAGGATTCTTCTTCCTTATGTGCCGTGTCCTTTCAGGACGTTGGCGATCATGGCTCTCTACAATTTCCTGTCCTTTGTAGTTCTTAATAAATTTGGTCTTTTTTATAATTTCTCCTAAACCTTGTTCCACCACCCATTTACCCAAATCCTCTAAGTATGTTGTGTGTTGTTTCTTCTCTGTCCCTCTTACCTTCAATCCAAGACCTCTTCTCTCATTATCTTCAACTGTCTCTTCCTGATATTAGGTATAACTTTCTTTTTTGTTTCCATTTTCTCTAAAACTTCGTCGTTGCCCAAATGTTTGGTCGATGGACCCACAGCATCCTGAATGTAGAAATTTTCCAAGCGTTTGTTGATTCCGTGTACTTTTGGCTAAACTATTAACCAGTTTCAAGGATTCTTTGTTATACAGCTAGAATAAACGGTGTATAAGTTCTGTTGTAGACGGTATAAATTTTGATGAAAGTAGACATAACCCTAACTTAGAAATATATATATATATATATATATACGTTTATATATATATATATGTTTATATGACGTCACACATTATGAAATAAGATTTCATCCCCCCCCAAAAAAAAACAAAACAAAAAAACTATAGGTTAAATAGTAGAACAAACTGGGCTCTCTACCGTTGGTCGAAAACCAGCCTTGGAGAAAGAAAACCGTGAATACAAAACCTGAAACGGCACTGGGAACCGTTGCAACAGACTACCTCTCTGCTAATGGGGTGCTGATATTCAATAGCTCTGAACAGCGGAATTGAATAGGGACCCATCAGTCTGGTCGATGAAGGTGATAGGAAAATGCTTGTTATTCGGAATGTGTGCAGGGAGGATTGAGGATATTTTTTTTTTTTTTAAAAAAAGACAACTGTTCAGGACATAAGCTCTCATGGATCCCTCCAGCTTCCTTTTCCTTCTTATGTGTGAATTATCCTGATTTCTTAGTAAATATTGTAGAGTGATTTCCCGTTACCATCCAGCGATTTCTAATTAGTAGTTTTCCTTCTGCTATTTACCTTAAAACTGAGGGTAGAAGAAACGGATTCATGCTTTTCCCAAGGTTGTTAGTGTGCAAGTGGACGGAACTTGAGCATCCTTCACCGATAACCATCCGGCTAACAGTTTAACTTACGCTATGCTCATGAATACGAAAGAAAAAAATATTGAGCATAAAAATTCTATGAACAATTAATGCAAATAGTACATCATCGTATCTTCATCGCCAACGTAATATATATATATATATATATATATATATATATATATATATATATATATATATATATATATATATATATATATATACGTAAAAGTGGACACTGACGTCAACATCAGACGTCGACAGGCTGCTTCATCCTTCAATGCATAAATCAGATTGTCGCAGGTTGGTGCTTGGTGTCCCCCTTTTGCATTACATACTGTCTCTCTCTGATATTGTTCACTTTCACTCATAAGTATAGCATACCATAAAAGATTATATATCTGTATCAATATATATCTATATCTATATATACATTTTAAAAGTTTATGAGGGTCAAGCAACTCAGTTCATAGGAACCGACAGCCAGACACCTGCATATAGGATTTGCGTTAAAGTGGTGAAGGCTTTGGGCAGAACCAACCAGACTTTTTCGAAGAGCAGAACCCAGAGAGGTCGTGAACCGTATACCACAACGTCCCGAAACCACTCTCCGCAGGTTTTGAATTCACAGTTGTCGTTCTCCTAGACTGGTTGCCACCCAATGCTAATCGACCCAGTCTTTCCTCCTATTTACTATTAGCTCGGGTGGAGTGGGGGTGAAAGAAGAGGATTCATACCATTCCCAAGGGTATTAGCACGTAATGTATTCGACTGGAATTCGAACTCGCCTGTCAGATTCCTTAATCCGAGCTGCTATCCATTACTGCACAGTGCGTCCACACGCGCACACACACACACACATATATATATATATATGTATATAAAATTTAAGATTTGAGAATCAGCAGATATTTTTATATATAGTACTCAATATTAAAAATATTAAAATAATATTATTAATATTATATGAAAAGATTACTTAGCCTTTAAATATCAATTTTATCCCGTCATCGATGTTTCTATTATTTGAATTAAATATAAGTATGTTTTTGACTTTTACTATATTTTTGATACCTACTATAGTTAAATGGCAAATTACAAATAAAATACCCCATATAATATTACCAATAGGAACAGTATACTGTATTTAGAAGAAAAATTAGGAATATTAACTTTTAATTATCAAATTAAATTATTAAATAAGAAGAATGAAATAATGGGTCGATGCCGACATATTAACAAATATTTTCTTTGTTACTTTAATAATATAATAAATCACCTGATAAATATGGTCAACTGTATTGCCTGCAAAACAACCCCAGATCATCACATTTCCTTCACCAGTTACAGCTGGCACAACACAAGCAGTAATCAATCGTTCACTAGTTCTTCGCCTCACATACGCTTGCCCTCGATATCCGAAGATCTCAAACTTGGATTCGTCAATCCAGAGGATTCGTTTCCATTGATCAACAGCCCAGTTTTGATGTTTTTTCGCCCATATGATACGCTTGTGTTTATTAGTCGGTCTATGCAGTGGTTTCTTGGCAACACGACGGCCATTTAAACCCTCTGTAGTGGGTCTTCTAACTGTTGATGAAGACACATTAGCTCAGACGGCTTTACTTACTTGTGCGGCAATTTGAGGGACTGTTAGATTCCTGTTTCGAAGACTGGTGATTCTGATAAACTTGTCATTTTTGCTTATTTCCATATTTCTCACAATAACAGAGCGAACTGCAGTGTATGAAACTATTTTGACTACATCTCGGAAACTATAGCCTTCTCAGGTGATTAATTACACTTCTTGTTTATATTAAGATTGAATCTGCAAAATAGAAATTATTAATATTTTTAATAATTGAACTGGAAGCACATAATATCAATTATGAAACATATATTTAGTGATGTTTCCTTATCTGACAACGCATAACGAGTGCCAATAGTGACTCTGGAGTCCGTTGTTGCAAAACAATTTAGAGTCAGTCTCCTCATACTCGGAGTGACGGGCAAATGAAGTACTGCAATAAAAATGATATTTCATATCAAATGTACCCAAACCTTATGCAATGAGTTATTTTATGTAATTTTTCTTCCAAACTATATAGATTTATTAAATTAGGCATAAAACTCAGCTTTAAAACATATTTTTGTAAGTAATCTTAAACTTTTGGAGGGTAGTGTACATATATATATATATATATATATATATATATTAAGTGTTTCACCACAAGCAAGGAGAGAAGCCACTAGGACGCAAGGGGTTACAGAAAATTTGGAGCAAGATCAGATAGGAGTGATAGAAGAAAGGATGAGGAGAAGGGTAGTGGATAGATCAAGGTAACTGGAGATGTCGATTGACATTACATTTGAATAGCTATGAATGCAGAAAAGTACTTGCCTTGACCAGGGTGCTCTCTTGACCCATAAATCTGTTTTTTCTTAAGTGGACTGGGTGCAGAATTTTTAAACAACTTCGTGTTTTATATATATATATCTATATATCTATATCTATATCTATATCTATATCTATATATATATATATATATATATATATATATATATGTTTGATTAAATAACAAGCATTATGTCTGTTTGATAATGATCTTAGAAAAAGATGGATAGTACTTGTGAAATAAAAATGATGTTCACTGTTACAGTGCATTTCTTGCATCATTTGATTGTAATAC